CCGGACACAGAGGGGAACGCTGAAGCTGGGGATCGTCCTGCACGGAGTTGGGCTAAAGGAGTTGCTGACCTTCAATAGGAGGGGAGGCATTCTGGACGCTCCGTAGCACTGTCTGGGGGTCCAACGGGCCCATCAGGTGACTTGGACGCCACGAAAGGCACTCCCCTTAATACCAATACCAAATAACAATACTATGCCTCAGCTGTTTTGGTTTACTTTAAAACAAATAATTAATTCTCAGCCAAGAGAGAACATTGTGTTCAAGTACAGAAAATGAAACAAAACGCGGCTATTAGATGAACTTTTAGAAATCGGTAATGTTTAGAAACCTCGGCACGCCCACCGTACATGTTTGTAGCATTTACAATTTATTTTAGATTTTTCGAAACCTAACAAACTAACGCACTCTTTAACATGGAATTCGGTTGAGCTGAGCAGTTGTCACAGTTTAGAAAAGGACACACTATAAACATGGTTTTTTCTAAACAGGGAAGCATCTGCAGAAGTAACTGAAACTTGATTTTGAGGGTGAAGCTGATGAGAAAAATTTTCCAAATGGAGAGTCCTACGCTTTTTTATTTTTGACCAGTACAATTCTCTAAGTTTTTATGATATTTACGAAGATTGCAATTGATATTTACTCAAAATTACTAAGACATTTTGCAAGCAATAAAGCAATGTCGACCCAATGACATTCTACTGGCAGACTTGCCAAATCACACAATTTCAAGCAAAATTTTACTACAATAAAATTTTCTTATAAATTTATATGAATTTTTAAATTTCACGGACATAAGAACTACCATAATTTGCAGTTATAGATTAGTTTTGGTTAGTTAGTTAGGTTAAAAAGCAGTTCTGGCCATTCTAATTATAAGCACATATTGATACACTCATCCCGTGATGATTCTGGCATATTTGTCACTACAGTAACACCACTTCGGTTGGTAACATCCAAAAATGATAACCTTTGGAATAACCCAACACCACAATCTACTCGATTTTGTAGGCCACTTAAAATGCAGTACTCAAGGGAAACAAAAAATCACGTCCTAACGTAACAATCAGATTAAAAATTTAAGTCCACTAGCACGCAATGTTGGAAACCATACTTTAGAAATTACCCGATGGCAATAGCAAATCATCTCAAGCTTGTCCCATGTGTATAGCAACACCTTAAATATGAAGGTTAAAGATTTTGAATCGGCCATTGTTACGTCCAACCCAGAATTGTTACAATATGGAATCAGTTCACTACACTACAGAATTAAAATTGAAGTATGGAAAATTAGAGGAGAACCTAACGAACTTGCTGCCAATGAAAGGAAAAAAATGTACAAAATCACTTTTGGGAGACCACAAGCTCGAACGTTAACAAACGAAGTTATGGTTCAAGCAATGATGGGCCTTTGGAAACCTAAATAATTCTTCAGAAATCACTTGAATTGACCTTGAAAAATTTTAAACGCACTTAAAAGGAAGGACAGTATATCCTTAGATCCTCATGCAAGCATCCATACATAAAGTTTCGATGCATTCACTGCCTGTTCGATACTTTGCTGAAGATGCTGCTGAATTAAGAAATAAATCTGACAAACAAGGTCGTTTAGATCTAAAACTAGCCAACTGAGGAACCTGGAAGATGTATTTTGTCGAAGTCTAGATACATCAGATCTTCTTATTTCCGGTGTCAGCCTTCGTTCTAGAATACGAAATTCTAAAATTAAATTAAAAATTAAAAATAAGTGCAGTAATTCGGTTACTAAAAACTTTTGACTAAGAAACTTCTTTAGATTTAGCTTCTAAAGATATGGATAAATCTAAAAATTAATCAAATTTAAATCTTGATAATCTGGAAGATTCTTTAGAAATTAGAGCTTTAGAAATTTTAGATTTATAATCTGAAATGAACTGCCACGTCTCTTTTCCACTGAAGGTGGAGGGGAGACCAAAGCAATCCTACTATACTTTGCTCACTTTGCTACCGATTGAAAGCAGTAAGTATAGAGCCCAAGCAGCTCAGTTTCTCAAAATATGGGCGGGGTATAGAAAATATATAAATAAATAAATAAAAGGTTGGAAACCGGGCCGCCAGCTAGAGCAATACGCCAACCTATACCAAAATGTATTGATAGTGACTAGTGTCTTTGCTCACTAGCCACCAAACAAACTCACAAATTTAACAAAGTTCTAGGCAAATAAATAATAAATAAACAAGACAAGCACATCAGTTTAAATCTCCATATATTGGCTACTGGACCAGATTCTCAATCACAGAATATAAGCAAAATACATTAGACCAGGAGCTCCAAGCTGGGAAACTGACTATACGCAAAATACTTAAGTACACAATAAACACAGGAAGTTTGGTTACGATCGATCGTTTACAAATAATTATCACAATAAAAATGTTTCTATAATTGTGTACTTTACCCTTACCCTAACTGAGCTCTTTAATTTATATTGATATTTAAAAATTTAAATTTGTATTTAATAGGAATAAAATTAACCGAAACGTAAATAGAGGCTTATCTGTGATCCTCCAGTTACCAGCAACGAACGAGTCGGGCACGCTCTAGGACAGCTGTTCTGTATACTGCCTACGGGTTCACCAGTCAGTGGCATAGGCACGAATGCTTATCGCTCTTGGACGAGGAAATGTGCACTGCAACGTCCGTAACCGAGTTAATTTGAAGACTCGGTAATTCTTGGGTTGCAGAATTCAAAACACGTGCCGTCCACGAATGGAAAGAGGCACCAAATCCAAATGAACCGGAACTAGGGAACCCGGTGCCAAACCGGAAACCCAAACCAGACCAACAATCAAAAACCGGTACCAAAAGAAAAACCAAAACCCTACAAAACAAAATAATGAGTTGCGGTTTTCATAATTACTTGCAACACGTGAAATAAATTGTGAAACTTACGCCTGATGATCGTGGGTGGCGGTGAAGAGTACCAGGTGCTAGGTTGGTTAGCTTTAACCCAGCCCAAGCTGTAATGTTGGGGACGTTCAAGCAAAATACTACCAACAAAACGACGATCCGCAATTTCTATACGATTTCAATCCGGTTTAATCCTCGAAAACTACGAGATGCCACAAACTTATTCGGATTGAAATCTTGCAACCACTTGCACCGGCGGAAATCGTAAAGCCAAAAAAAAAAGACCGATGAAGTTTCACAAAGTTCCAAAAAAGACCGATGGACACGATGTTCGGTTCCGACATCACTAGGGTCAATGGGCCAATAATGACAGGAGTTAATCAAGGCAAGGAGACCGCTATTATCCATAATAACCAATTATTACACACACAGTAACGTCTTAGGAAATCGAAGACGAACGTGGGCCAAAGGTCGAGTGCTTAACTGTACTAATGGCCCGGTGCATTCACGTTAACAGAGGATTGAAATATAACCTCTCCAAAAAGCAACAAGTGTAAATAAATATAAACACGGGACAAGAATAGGAATTGCCGTTACTTCGGAAATAAGAAGGAATACAGGACATTCCGCAGTAACATCCTAAATTGCAGCAAAAATGCAAGGGCTTACACTTATTTACATTTATTTTAGGGCAGGCAAACCACACCAAGCAATTAAGCAGTTACAGTGTGTTCGAGCAGAAGGAAGTAGTGAAGAATAATTAGCAACACCAGTAGTTTTGAGGATTAAGACAGTGTGTAATTGTGAGAATAAAACTTTCTGTAGGTAGTCTCCGAGCATTATTAACCTACCTGTGAGAAACATAAGTCGAAGTAGAGAATGACAAATTTTGTCATTAATATTAGGTAAAATTTGTTTGTCCAATATTTATACTATACTATTATAAACCACAAAATAAACTAATATCATCTTTCGAAAAAATAAACATAAAAAAAAGGTTTCTAATATGTTACGTTGTTATATTATTATTATTAAAACGTTTGCTAATAAGTTTTAGCGCAAATTATGGTCATTAAGACCATAGCACGACGTCAGAAACGCAGCTATGAAATTTAAGACATTTTCTAAACGAACTTCTAAATACCGCTTTTAAAAGGCATGGCAAAGGCCATAAAGAAATTTTGATAAGAATTTTTGCGAATGCTCTTTTAAGCAGAGAGCTCTTTTAGTTAAAAGGAAATTCCAAATACCGCCGTCAATATTTTCCGCAACTTGATTTGTGCAGCTGATTCAATTAACGAGATATTCGACGAAATTAAAAAAGACACCGCCGCTAAAAATGCTTGACTGTAGAACAGCAATCAATTTTTAAGTTTTTGGAGCAAAAGCGACGAAGTCGTTAATACTGGATCTTTTACTTTCATTTTTATAATGAATGTACTAAAAGTGATTCATGGTGATTCATTTTCTGTTGTTAGACTGGGAATATACTCAGCTTTACCATTTTTTACAGGTAGCGATTCTTAAAAATGAAATTATATTAATGAATACCATAGTTTGGGATAAGAAATATGAACCAGGAATGTTCTGCAGAGTAGCTAGTTACTCAGAAATTCTTTTGTGCTCTATAGTTATTTTAATATCTAGGTTGTTTAGAAAACTTAGTAATCACCTCCATAGCAAAACTGGATCACAAGAATCATCCTAACCAAATTGTTATTGAAAACTGATATATCGCCATTTTCAAAATTGCAAAACTTGATTTTTTTCATATACGATACCCTGTATATTTGTATAATAATAATAATATTAATAATAATAATAATAATAATAATAATAATAATAATAATAATAATTGATTGGGGGTTGCGCTGTAGAGGTAGTACCTTTTATCAAGGACGGTGGCACTCAACGATATAATCGGTGAGTGGTCGGCGATAACTGGTCCTCACAGGGCACCCAATTCTCACTTATGGCTCCACGTGCCACACCCCGGAAACTGCTTCCACCGGCAGGCTAAACTAAGTGAGGATAGCCAGATATTGGCGAACAGCGACTGTTCTCCAGGTTAGGAGCGGCTGAACTCAACCCTGTTATACAGGACCCCATTAAAACATGATGGAGAATCAAAATAATGATGCCTCGGATGAATTTTATGGTGAACGGGATTTAGGCAGAGGGTCCCCGGAACCCGAGCTACAGTCTCCTGCAGTCGGTGGTGGACCGAGTGGCGCCACCCTGCGAATGGCTACCACAAGACACAATGGCGGCAACACTTCAGCAAATGCAGCAGATTCAGAAAATGTTCCTCCAGCTCTAGAGCGGGGGGCCATTGATGAAGAAAGGCACGCTGTACCTACAGCACCTCGAATGCGCAAAAAATGGACTAATGAAATAAACACATTTCTTATGCGCATATACTACAGAATTACTAACCTAGAAACAGATATGCTAAGATATAGAGATGAACTACATCAAGAATTCTCTACCACATACCCAGAAATGAACGCTAGTGCACAGAGACTTTCAGACCAAATACGTGCAATCAAACGACGGAATCTCTTACCTTCTGCAACACTTAACAGCATAAAAGATGAGGTCAGGCGAGAAGTAGAAGATCATATTACTCATCAGAAGGAGGACCACACAGAAGAAATGACTCCTATTGACGATTCCCCAAAGCAGCTAATAGTAGACCGCACAAATATACCAAACCGTCAGATCGGTACTAATGCTTTAAATGAATCGCTTAAAACAGAATTTCACACTGCGCTGATCCAATATAAAGATGTAGAACCGAAATATAGACCTAAGATACCAACACTACATACCTCTGTGAAACTATCTCAGATTGTCGAATTATTAAATACTGAAATTCTCCCATCTGCCCTACTTGACGCAAAAAATATTGCGCAAGTTCACGCCGTAGTCTATTGCTCCGCAGTTGCAACGGCTAGAGCGATGGGATTTAAAGTTACGTCCGACTCTAGAGTGGTGAATAAACAGGGCGAGCCGGCATGGAAGAAACGATTAAGCCAACTTATTGACACACTTAGGACAGACATCGGAAGGCTAACGAGCTTCCAGAAAAAATCCCACAACACACCTAAATTACTTAAGCAAGTTCAAAATATTAGGGAAAAGTACGGACGCCACGGAGAAGTTCCTAACCTTAACGACCAACAAATCATGGACACTATGAAGCAGAAGCTTTCAGTTTACTCAGCCCGATTGGCAAGATATAATAAAAGCTATAAACGGAAAACCCAAAATCATCTATTTAATGTAAGTGAAAAAGCCTTTTACCGTAGCTTAGATAAAAAGAAACACGAGTGTAATGAAGACCTCAAAATAACACCCCAAGAATTAGAAAATTTCTGGGCCCCAATATACACAAACAAGGATGAACATAACCAACAAGCAACGTGGCTATCTGAAATCTCTTCTACAATCGCAAATCCAATGGAATACTCCAGGATAACAGAAACAGACGTTAAAGCAGCAATATATAGGACAGCCAACTGGAAAGCTGCAGGTCCAGACAAAATACAAAACTTTTGGTGGAAACGACTGTGGGTCACACATGCGTACCTAGCCGAGCATTTCTCCAAAATAGTGTCTGATCCAGAGTTACTACCGTCATTCTTTACAACAGCCATAACTCATCTTATCCCTAAGGACACAACGAAAATCAATGATCCGTCCAAGTACAGACCAATAGCATGCCTCCCCACTATATACAAAATACTCACGGCATGCATCTCTAACAAAATCTACAACCACCTAGACAGAAATAGTTTGATCGCTGAAGAACAGAAAGGGTGCATTAGAAAAGCGTATGGCTGTAAAGAACAACTAGTCATCGACTCAGTCATATCAAACCAGGCAATAAAAAGCAATAGAAATATTCACATGGCTTACATCGACTATCAAAAAGCATTTGACTCTGTGCCACATTCCTGGTTGAAATATGTACTGAAACTCTATGGTATCCACCCCCAAATACGGACGTTTCTTGGTCTTTGCATGAAAAAGTGGAATACTGACCTAACACTCCACCATCAAGGGAAGTCGCTGATTGTACCGAGGATGAGGATTAAAAAAGGAATTTTCCAGGGCGACAGTCTGAGCGCTTTATGGTTCGTCATGTCGATAAATCCTCTCAGCCTGCTTCTGAATAACAGCCGATACGGCTTCGAATTAAAGACTCCTAATAGATCCCATAGGTTAAGCTCTATATGGATGATCTCAAACTATACGCATCTTCAAAACAACAACTATCAAGTATGATCCGGATAGTGGAAAATGTTTAGCACGGATATCCGAATGAAGTTTGGTTTGGATAAATGTAGAACTATCCATATAAACAAGGGAAAGTTTTCTAACGTGGTGAACATACAAGAATCAGAGATTCAAAACATGCAAGAGACGGATCTTTACAAGTATCTTGGAATTGAGCAGGCGCGAAATATTGATCATGTTGGCACTCGAGAAAAACTCGAGAAGATAGTGTACGAAAGAACGCGCAAAATAGCCAACAGTTGTATAAATGGTCGAAATATGAGCAAGGCACTTAATACCTTTGTTATTCCAGTACTGACCTACTCTTTCGGCATTATAAAATGGTCAAAAACCAGCATCAAGCTAATGGAAAGCAAAATGCGTTCAATATATAGAAAACACGGTCACCTCCATCCCAACTCGTGCCGTGAGAGATGGACTCTTCCAAGAAGTGAAGGGGGAAGAGGAGTAATACACCTACTTAATATGCACAATAAACAAGTGAACAAGCTACGAGAGTATTTCTACAATAAAGATGCTGCACTACATAAAACCGTAATAGAGGCAGATAAAAAATACACTCCATTAAACATGGCAGATAGAAACGAGATTTCAAATTGAAATAAACGATGAGATCCTGCATCAATGGGCTCAGAAGGCGGTCCACGGCGGGCATTTTTCCGACCTGCATCAGGAAGATGTTGACATTAAAGCGTCAAACAAATGGCTGAGCAACGGAGACTTGTACGCCGAGACCGAAGGCTACCTGCTGGCTATTCAGGATAGAGTACTACCAACAAGAAATTATAAAAAATATATCCTTAATACCCCTCACACAGAAGATAAGTGCAGAAGATGTGGCCAAAATGGAGAAACTATTGAACACATACTAAACGGTTGTTCAACTTTAGCACCCACAGAATACACAATAAGGCACGATAATGTAGCAAAAATAGTTCACCAAAACCTTGCAGTTAAACATCACCTTCTTGAACAAAAGTGTCCTTACTTTAAATATTCACCTGAAGCTGTTCTGGAGTCAAATACCCATAAACTGATGTGGAACAGATCTATCATAACAGACAAAGCAATTCAACATAATAGGCCAGATATAATACTCACTATTAAAAATGAAATGATAACCTACTTAATCGATATCGCAGTACCTTGGAACAGAAATCTTTCAAATACTCACAACCGTAAAATACAAAAATACTCTGAGCTTGCTAGCGAGATCAAAAGAGTTTGGCGCCAACGGGAGGTTCATACAATACCAGTGGTCCTATCTTCTACAGGACTAATACCCAAAAAACTTCATAAGTCACTTCAGTCTCTCGGCCTTCAACAATATCTCTATATGGAACTACAAAAAGCCAGCATACTACAGACTTGCCACCTGGTCAGAAATTTCTTACAGTAGGAAGAGTATTTGTCTCAGACCGTACCTTCTTATTAAAAATAAAAACCGACAACGTCGAGCTAAGGAATAACAATAATAATAATAATAATAATAATAATAATAATAATAATAATAATACGTTTAATTTTTAATATAAGGTTGAGGACATTTTGACATTTATGACAAAAAGGAAGGTCAGTTAATAGGAACAGTATTATTAACAATTTTAATATATCTGAAGCCAAAAGTAGCCACACGCGAGCGGTCACGAAGATAATACTTGAGCAATAATAATTTGGTTTAATGGTAATTAAAAGTCATTCGTTGAGCAGAAATTGTTTAGGTATATTGTATCGCATCCCATTTTGAACAATTTTACGGTCACAGCTATTTTCAAAAATAGAGAGTCGCGGTTTCCGCGATATTATATATTTTTTGTAAAATTAAATGTGTCCGTTTCTCTGTTGCCTTATTGAAGAGTTTAAAAAACGTTCATATAGGGTTTTTTCCGTAGAATCCAGTGTCGTACTTTATTTTTAATTTCTTACCTCTCAATTCCAGGGTCGTGAAAAAAAAAACATTTTAATTAAATTTTAAATTTGTTAGTGAGGCAAGACAATGACCGGCTAGCTCTCTAACAAGAAAAAAATTTAAAGTAAAATATTACTAAACAGGATGTAACCCCAAGTTGGGAGGCGGCCGAGGGCACCTCGGTCGGACCCGGAAGGTGATAGGTAGGCGCCGCGTGATTAAAAAAAAAAGAAATCTTATTGACACAAAGGTTCCTAGCCGAAGAAATAAACCCAATAAATCTCAAACAATAATTTCTTAAACATTCATGCTTGGGAAGGGTTACAACATTAAAATTGAGCAAAAAAGTATATAAAAGTGTCTACCTGGAGGTTGATGCGAGTGCGTCAAATCTCACCTTCAAGTTTTGGCGACGGAAAAGAATGTAACATACAATGAATTATTAAGGAATTATATGTTTAAATTAAAAAGATAAGTTTCGCATAGACTTCTCGAACAGAACAGGCCACTAATAGGAATCGGCAGAACTTAAGCTGTCCAAACCTCAAGCTCGCCTGAACGCTACTCATCGCTCTGGTATTATACCGGTAACCAAGCAACAAGACGTAGTGGTGGCTCAAGGAATTCCAGTACGTGGGCAGTCTCAGCCAACCGACTAATGTCGGTAAGGAAAGCCGGCTAATGGACAGGGAAAATTCGACCACCAAACACGTACGCATGAGACAGCATGACACCAACTCTAGCAAAGCTCTCTGGTATTCGGATAAAAGAAGAATCCACGTTGAGAGGTTAGAGGGAAACCCGAACAAGGGAAAAAACCGTAAAATAAAATCGGCATAAATTGAGGAGTACGGGTTAGGTAGTAAAATGCCTGACTTACCTCGATTCTCTTTTTCAATAGAGAGAGGGCGAATGAAAAGCAAATGTGGTGCCCAGTCTCATAGTTTGGGGGATGGTAATTGTTACGACTTCCTCTAATTCGCAACTAATACTCTGTTTTTGCATTAGTATCTCTTAGTAAACCGGTGTCACCTAAGAGAAAACCGAGTGAACACTTGGCCGGGGAGTAGTCCAAAACTACAGAAACCGAGTCTACAAAACAAGGGGTGCTTGTACAGTGTGTTAAAATCGCAAAATCGAGATCAACCTAATAAACAAGAAGTTTTGAATGTTAAGAAAAATATTATGATAAGATATGATGAAAGATCCAAACAAAATAAACCCATTACTTCGCAAATGTGCCAGTACATTTTACTTTAAAATTGCTAAATTTTACGATTGAAATATGAAACCGGCACACTCCCCCCTTCCTTCGTCAGAGGTGGATACTAATCGACAAGTGGACTTCCATCAGAAAAACATCTTATATATTAGTAAAAGATCAGCTGCGTCTCTCGAAGAGCTCGCCGGTGAAGCCGAAGGAAAAAAAATAAACACCCAGAACTTGCGAACTAGTTAAACAGCAGAATTGCGCTCCCTCTTGTTGTGCTGGAACCTACCTAGTGGAGCCTGCGCATCCAATAATAGACATTAAATAATTTTGATAGGTTAATCCCTAACTCACTACCGTCGCACATCAGACACTACCACAGCTAAGGTGGGCCACTTAAGTAGAAGTAGCCGAGACCTCCCATAAATTCATTGGCTCGCCGAAGATACCAAAGAGCCGTATGAAAGCCGAAAAATTAAACAAAACTACAACAGCGCAATAACGATTCCACAGGGAAATCCTCCAGACTAGAGTGGCAACACAGCGGTAAGCATGTCTCGTGTATTAGCCCTCACAACAGTCCACAGGGTTACACCAATCAACAAGATCAACCCGGCCAAGGACACTAATCGGGAAAAAAGAAGAGTTCGCAGGAGCCCTACCTTGTTGGTGATAACTCTCCAACAATATCAGCGTGATTTCGAATACAGAAAAAGCTTACCAAATCTCTCAAAAGAACAACAGACTAGTGAGGCATCGATGCATGGTCCGTGACAATGATAAAATAGTTCCCTTCAAGATAATTGCGCAGTTTTTCGAAAGCCCTGTTTTGGTTAGTTTTTCAAAAGCTCAGTAGTGGAATAGTTACACTCCTGTTTTGACAATGAACGTGCCAGAAGCAGATTACAAAACAAATCAAATAGTTCCCTTCAAGATAATTGCGCAGTTTTTCGAAAGCCCAAATGGCGCCAAAACTATCACGCGCAGTAGTGGAATAGTTACACTTCTGTTTTGTCAATTGAATGTGGCAGAAGCAGATTACCTTCTCCATCCGATTCTTGATCAGGACGGCACCAAGTCTATAAGTAGAAGCATTGGTCTGAATGACAAACGATTTTGAGAAGTCTAGACGTGTCAATATATTAGCTGAGGCAATTCTTAATATGATTAAAGCCAGCCTCGCAATTGCTATGCCAGATGAAATAGGCATTTTTGTGGGCCAATTTGGCCAAAGGCGAGATCAGGGTGAAAAAATCTGGCACAAATCTCGGTACCAACCAGCCATACCTAGAAATCTCCTAATCTCAGTAATATTCCTGGGCTGAGGAGCCCTCATCATGGCTTCAACTTTTCAGACATCCACATGAAGACCTTTAGAGTCAACTACAAATCCTAGACATTTAAGGAATCACATACAAAACTGACGCTTCCCAAGGCTTACACTTCCCAAGGCTTTACTACTTTACCCAAAATAATTAAATGCCTCTCAAAGTCGGTTAGTGGCCTCTTTGGGCACAAGAAGTACTGTTGAAGACTAAGCGCTCTTAGAAGGCTCGACTACATCCATTTCCAGCATTGTTTTCACTTGTTTATCAAGGATCTTCTGCTTGAAGGGTAAAATGGGATAATATCGCTGTTTAAGTGGCGATTTCTTGAAAGCTCAAGGCTACCTGTAAGGGGGGTAATAGCTCTCTTCTAATAATGCTAACCTGCTTACTCTAGGACGGTTTCCTAGAAGACATCGCGTTGTTTATTTCGCCCGTTCGTAGTTGCGATGTCCCCTTTGGCTGCTGCGTATCGCTCTGTCGTTTGTTTTTTACGTATTGGCTAACTGTATTTGTTCCGTCCAGTCGGAATTGTATTGTTTTATTTTTCCTCTTTAATTTTTGTAATTGGGGAATTTTTATATCGAGCAAATTGAAATTGGTTTTCTTTTAATTAATTGCTGCGGTTATATTCTCCGCGTATTTTGGTGACAATCTCACTGGGTATATGGCCAGAAAAACTCGTATGTCGCTCGGGTGTCGTACTCCGCTGTGATCGGGACTAGTACGACTGAGGCAGAGACCAACGTGAGAGCATTTTTCGCGTGCCAGAATAAATATCTCGGGTGCCGTCAAGTATTGCGAAATTGTGCCGGTCAACAGCCAGAGCTACATCAAGGTAGGCCAAGAAGAAAAGAGATTGTCATTTTTCGTCTCGTTACATCAATATATTATTTTTTGAATCGCCCCGTTATTTTTAGCTTCAATTAAACAAAAAATTACAGTCCATTGCTCTTTCTCGTCCAGTATTTGTAATGATAATTTATATTTAGGTGTCCGGACTTTTCTATTTCGATGGATTCTCGTATAATTCATTTTGATTAAAAGTGCCGAAATGGCCTGTCTGGTGTTGGTGCTGGAATAATGCAGATGTTGTTTGTTTATTTCTTATGGCTAATCGATGTGCCTCGAGCCTGGCTGAAATCCTCCTATTGGTCTGTCTCACGTACATCAAGCTGCACGATCCGCAAGCCACACTATATACTCCTTGGTTCTCTAAAGTAATTTTTTGTTTTGGATTTCTTAATATTGCTCCAATGGTATGATCAGGTTTGTATGCCGTAGATATCTCGTGTTTCTGTAATATCCGGCCGATTCTGTCAGTAACCCCCTTGATGTATGGCAGAACAGCGATCGATCTTTCTTGGGTTTCGTCCTGCACTCTCTTTGCGGTTGCTGTTGTTTGCTTGTTGCCCTTTTGATGGTGCGCCTTTGGTATCCGTTTTGTCGAAGACAGATACTAATTTTCTTCAGTTCATCATCTCTGTTCTTCTCGTTCATAAGCCTGAAGGACCGAGCAATTAATGTATTTGCCACTGTCTGTATCTCTGATGGGTGGTGGTGAGACTCAGCGTGTGTGTTGGTTTTCTATAGACAGTGTGTTCCAAGTGTCCATCTTCGGTCCTTGTGATGTGTACATCTAGAAAGGGCAGACTGTTATCCTCTTCAAGTTCTCTTGTGAATTGACTCCTTGGATGAATGGAATTCAGATAGTCTAGGAATTTCAACAGCTCGTCTTTGCCAAAAGACCATACAGCAAATACGTCATCAACGTATCTTGTCCATAGTTTTGGCCTGAGATTTGCCGTCTCTATTGCTTTCTAAATCATTTCATTTATCACATAATCACAGGCGTTACTTCAAATGCCATTGGAGAAGATCATCGCAAAATGTATTTTGGACGAAAAATTCCCATCTATTTAGCAAAAAACAATCATTAAAGCTATTGACAATGTGGTAGACCCTCAAGGTCAGAAAGATTTACGGCCTGTAAGTATACTTCGAACAGTTTCTAAAATATTGAAAAAACATATATGTGGGCAGCTGGTTCTTTAGTAAACAATAATCTACACTGCATTGCCCATCGGTATTTAGAAATGTTGGCAACAGCGCTAGTTGGCATAGTAAATATTTGCAAAATTGAAGTATTTTGGATTCTCAAGTAATTCCTTAAATCTTATTAAAGACATCCTAACGGGTAGATGCAGTCGAGTTGTAATTACAAAAATGCAACACCTTTGATACAAATACAAACTTCCGATTTCAAGTTGTTCCACAGGGGTCGGTAATTTGACCAATTCTGTTTTCTTTCTGTGTCTGATATGAATCAGAGTGTAGCACATATGGCATATGGAGATTATCTGTTTTGCCAAAACTAAACAAAATTGGCAAATGACAATCAATACAAAAATTGCACCACTCTTGTATTCGTTTTGCCTATACCGTAGCCACATATCTTCTTTTTGAAAAATGTTAATATTTTAAACATGGGTAATCGACGGAAACTGCATAGGTACAGGTGTGTTTATAAACTTCTTCGATATTTTCAAATAGCAAGAAGTAACCTAAGTTACATTGTTCCTCATTGCAGAACGTCAGCATTTCAGAGATAATTTACTTATGTGGCAAAAAAGATATGGAATAGTCTCATCAGTCAGATGAGGAAATCAGGGTTATCTATCTGCGTACACAAAATTAATAAAATCGAAATTATTTACACAACAAAATCTACTTTGAGAAAAATTAATTTAAATATTCAATAGCTATTTTTATTGATCTTTAGTGTTATGTTGCTGCTAGTGCTATGGCAACTTAACTGTCGATTTGGGTTTGGGTTTACTTTTTCTCCGATTGTTCCCGCTCAGTCGTGTTTCAAGCAGTTACAAATTAAGCTTTAATGGCAATATAGTCGCCACAACATCCTTTTCTTTTCTAATTTCTTCTCTTCAATTAATAGTTCTGCGATATATTAGTGCACTTCTAGGTCCGATGCTGTTGTAGAGTCTGCGGCCTTCTCGCTAACATTTTTCTCTTAAAAAGTGTTCGTGTTTGGGGTGTAATTCATGAAATTATATTGCCTTTTGTTGCATAATATTCTATATTCTTACCTTCTTGTTTAAATTAATGTCTTTAAAGTAGTATCTAGTCGTATTTGTAGTCCTGGTGTATCTACTCATGTTCTCTTGATTTCCCTACCCAAATATTTACTGAATCTTTTCCCGCACGTCTAAAAAATAGATTGTCATACGTTTATTTGCAGACGTCGTTTTGTTTAACGGGTTCGACCGCGGCAGCCATTCTGCTACGGTTAAATGAATCGAAAAAGTTCAGACATAAAGCAAAGTAGGCTTTGAATCCTGGGCTGTCATCTTGTTAAAACAAATGCCCCTCGCGGGGCGATGCCTCGGCAGGAATGCCGCAGAAAAAGTGGCGCATTGAAGGTGCTTTTAGCCTCTCGGAGGACGGGGGAGATGGATCGGGGCCTTTGAAAAAATTCGGAATTTGGGTCGATAGGAAAAAAAGTGCTTCCTTGCAAAACCTCATATATTTTCTAATTTTTTGATATGATAAAACTACTAGGTTAATTAAAAATGACATTTATAAACAAAACAGTGATTGTGTTGAAAATGTTTATTATTAAAACTAAAAACATTTTCTTTTGCTCAGTACCAAAAAAAAAACATTTGAAAATGTTTTTTGATTCAAAAATTGGTAACAAAGTACAGCCTTTAGCTTAAATAATATTAAATAACTATAGGCATTGGCTAAAAAATCATTTAACAGCATTTTCTATTTGCTAGAAAAGTGCGCACTGTGAGTGTATTTCCATTTAAATCTTCAAAACACACTAAGTAGGCACTTTTTTTTGCAAATGAGAGGCAGAGAGTATAACTTTAATGAAACTTTGCGTCGGTTGTTGCTGAGTCGAACTTGCTGACGTTTCGCCAATCATCCTGTTGACTTCTTCAGAGCTTGACTGAAATTGGCTCGTATTTTACTCTGTACCTGCTTATATATTGTTTGAGAGGGGGGAGGTGGAGCTAAATAAGGGGCATAAACACCGTCTCGGATGACTGATTCCCATATTGGTGACATGTAGAGACCTGAGAAAAACCTGATTACATGCAAGAATTTTAGTTTTATCGAATAAAATTTTATGTCTAGTTTCATGAGTGTGTTTGGCAACAGCTGATGAGTTTATTTGTCTTAGTCGTAAGGCTCTTTCATGTTCTTTGAGTCTAGTTCATATTTTTCGTCCGGTCTTGCCGCATATGGATGGAATCTGTAAACTCCTGGCATTTCAA